AGAAATGCCTATAGTCAATTAAAATTATGTGAAGAGACACAGAGGTTATTAGCTTGGAGTGCAAGTAAAGATATTTATTTAGTTAAAAGATTACCTTTTGGTACAAAACCGGCTTGTTCAAAATTTCAGAGTGTCGTTGAAAAAGTACTAGGTGTAAAAAAAATTTTATATTACATTATTGTTACAGGTAGTAGTGAACGAGAAAATTTARACAATCTTAGAGAGGTATTTCGAAGGTTACAAAATTCAGGGTTTAGGTCAAATAAAAAAAAAAATTTGTTTTTTTCAGCCAAAAATTAATTATCTAGGACATATAATTGGATCTCAAGGTATCGAGAGAGATAAAAAAAAAGTGGAAGCTGTGCTTAAAGCAGTTAGACCTAAAAGTGTGACGGAGGTTAAAGCGTTCACTGGCATGGTAAACTATTATGCCAGATTTATACCAAATTTATCTACTCTATTAAATCCTGTTTACAATCTATTAAAAAAAGATGTTAAATTTGTATGGACAAATGAGTGTGAAGTGGCATTTAATAAAACAAAACAGGCAATGGCATCAGAATCGGTATTAGTTCATTACAATCGAAGTTTATATGTAGTATTGTCGTGTGATGTATATTTTGGAAAATGGTGAAAAGCGACCAGTAGGGTATGCGTCTAGAATCTTAACGGGGACCGAAAAGAAATACTCTATAATTCAGAAAGAAGCTTTAGCAGTGTTCTGGAGTGTAAAAAAATTTTCCCAATATCTTTTGGGTAGAAGATTCTTTTTAGAAACTGACTATTCACCTTTGTTAGCTTTGTTTGGGGAAAATGAAAGTATTCCAGTAATGGCTTCGGGTAGAATACAAAGATGGGCATTATATTTATCTGAATTCGATTATCAGTTTGCACACATAAATGGTAAAGATAATAAGGTGGCTGATGGACTTTCTAGATTTCCAAATAATGATGGTATACAAGCTAAAACAGATGAGTTAGATTATGTTGATTTTATGGAAAACACTATGCCTATAGATCATGAGATACTTAGAGTAGATACTAAGAGAGATAAGGAATTTAAGTTAGTAGTTGAATATATGAACAATGGTTGGCCTTAAAAAGTGAGTGATGAACTGAAGCCTTATGCAATTAGAAAAGAAGAGATTTGGGTAGATAAAGATATATTAATGTGGGGATATAGATTATTAATACCTAAGAATCTAAGAAATGATTTGTTGAAGGAGGTGCACTCAACGCACATATGGTATGTCCAAGATGAAAACACTTTGTAGATCATATATGTGGCCAGGATTAGATAAAGATATMGAAAATTGGGTAAAAAGTAGTGAGGTTTGATCACAAAGTAGATCAGAACCTATGTTAGCTAAAACAAAAAAATGGGAGGAAGCAGTTTGTCCAATGGATAGGATACACATTGATTTTTTGTATTTACAAGGCAAAAATCATTTGATTATGACAAACAATGACTAGTAAYTCGGTGATAGAAAATTTGAGAGAGATATTTGCCGGGTTTGGAATACCGAATAAAATTATGTCAGATAATGGACCTCATTTTAGATCTGAAGAGTTTATACAATTTTGTAAAAATAATAAGATTACATTTCTAACATCTCCTCCTTATCATCCAGCAACGAATGGGTCAGCTTTAGAACGCTGTAAAATCGATAAAGACTGGTATTTTAAAGGCAATTAATAAATATAATATATTATGCTAGATTATTTTGTAATTTTCACATTATTATACAGTACTATAATAATAATAATAATAAATAWATTTATTATATTATAATATAATATAAAAAGAAAAAGACCACTAGGCAGACCACGCCTCAGATGGGAAGACTGTGTGAAGAGAGAAGTAAAAGAAGTAGACCCAAGAGGAAACTGGAGAGAAATAGCTGAAAACAGAATAAGGTGAAGGGAAATTTGTTTTACGGGATGGTCAACAATTTACCATCAAAGTCTTCCTCGTCGTCACTATTCTTAAGTAGAATCAGTGGTGCAGAACCTATAACCCAAGAGAGGCGACCACCCCCTCTTTTTTTTCGGTGGGTGGGGTCGTAGGGGTCCGTGGGTGACCCAACAAACTATTTATGAATTATGTTCCTAACTCCAAACTCCTAAGCTATTAATATATATGGACACATGGTATTTGTATACATATGCAGCACTTTAGCAGGCCGTAAAGAATAGCGAATAGGATCATAAGGATAAACAACTAGCCTGAGTTAGTGAGTAAAGTTGGCTGACAATTTATTAATATGAAATAACGTATTAATGTCGGGGCCAAACGAATGTGCGGTTGGTGGCTCCGCCCACCGCTAAGCAAGGGTATAACACTCTCACAATATTCCTAATGTTATTTGAAAAAAGTGAGGATATGGCCTTGAACTCCCGGGCACTGCAATTTTGTTATTTTTGAGAATCAGCTGATGGCTCATATCATATATTTCAATAATTGATAGTTGATAATTGATACCATTATGATATCACAGAAATGATAATAAATTATATTATAATTTAAAATTATAATTACTAATAATAATTAAAATTAAAATAATTATTGAACGTATAATGCGAAACAGTTGTTATATCATAATTGTTGTTAGATAACCGCAAGCAGTTAAGGTTAGGTTATAACGTTATAACATTTTATCTATTCTGTGGTTATAACTTATAGGATTAAAACGTAAACAAACAACAAACCGTTATCGTTAAAAAAAAAATCGTTCATAACAACACTTCTAAACCACCAGGTAATCATTTACAACTTCAACACTAAACCACCAGAGATCGACCACCAAACAGTGTCGCTTCTATACTGTTCTATGATATCACACTAGTAAATAACAGCTGTTGGCGGGATATTTGAAAATAAAGTAACTATATCATTTTACTGCGTTCATATTATCACCAATCGCATATTGAATTTTATCAAAATTAAAGATATTTGGCACTATATAGTTATTATGACTGTTATTACTATTATTTATTATTGTGAGTCTCTGTACACACCCTAGTACGCAAATAATCTATTCAGTGTTGACTCCGTACTAGAATGTAAATAATATAACGCTGTTGCGGTATACGCAAAACGTATATTGCCAATGACAAGATTCTAGCGTACACCGTACACGACAGTATATATATAAAATCATATACATTTATTAAGTAAATACAATTTTATGTTTTTATTGTTATGTTTTGATAAAATTAAAGTACACAATTATAGATTTCAGCCGTTTTAGTACGCTATGTCAATTGTAAGTAAATAAAAAAATATTTCTATTTACATATCATCACAACTAACTTCATAATCAGAATCTGAAAATGAAGAATCATCGTCTTCAGGGTTGATCGTCAAAATGACTGGATCTAGACGAATTTCTCTCACCAATTCCTTTTCAGCGTCTTCTTTTTGCACTCTCTCTGCATGCTCAACACATTTCTTGCAGTTCTCCACAGTAACATTTTCAATAGCTTCATGTGTAAGTTTTTCAACATCTGCAATTTTAAAAGTTTTATTTTTAGTGGCTACCTCGCCTTTAACTTGTGCCCATATCAATTCAATCCGGTTGTACTAGCAGTGGTATGGAGGAAKACGTACCACTTCATGACCCGCTTTGTAAGCTTCTTCGTCTAATTCGTAAACACATTCTTTTTTTTTAAGTAGCTCCACCTTACTTTCCAGTGGTGAAAACGGGATTTTTTTTTCATTCAACCAATTTTGAATAATTTCTTTTTTTGAGTTGGTCGTTGGCGCTTTATTTAGTTCGATAGAATGGTAACTGGAGTTGGCCATCACTATAATTAATGCTTGGTTCTTCTAACATATTAAGCATTTTCAAAAACATTTTCTGAGTGTAGTCGGAAGATGTATTCTTAGTATTCTTGTAGTATAGTTTACATTGAGGAATAAAACCTGTTTTAACCGAACCGATATGAAGAAGGATAAGTCTGGCTCCTTTTCCTGTTGGTATTTTTAAAGCTCCATCATTATGACTATCTTGCCATATATATGAGCGTGTATGATTTTGATTAAGCCAAGTTTCGTCCAAATAAAAGATTGGCTTGTAAGGAGTTTTCTCCCTGATATCGTTCATTTTTCGAAGAAACACCAACCTTTTTACGATTATGTCACTTCTTTCCATCAAAAACTTTCGCCCGCCGTTAAACTTCTTGAATCGGAAGCCTAAATTATGGAAAAGACATTTGACTGACCTCACTGAACCTTCATAATTAATTTTTTCTACCAATTTTTCTTGTACCATTTGAGCAGTCGGAAATTCACCTTCGTCGTAAAATTCAAAAATTGTACGACGCACAACATCTTGATTAAAATCGTCCATTACTAACACTGGTTTTTGGGTAGACATTGATTTTCGTGGTGAAATAAATTTTCCAGAATTTTTTTTTATATTCTTTTGAAACGTTCTGTACAGTTCTTAAAGATATCCCACATGCTTCTGAAGTAACTTTTTGTGTTTTGGCAAATCTATTTTTTTAAAGTGAGATTCTAAACGTAATTTTGAAAAAAAATTGTATACATTCTGAATAATTGCTTTTGTTTGTCGACGATTCTCAAATGTTTTTACCCTCTTTTTTTGATGGAGTTGAAGGAAGATCAGCTGCAATACTCGTTGACGGCATTCTAATTTCATCAATAGTATATAAGACACTCATTTTGGTAATGTAAAAATACATTTAATACAATCGACAATAACTATATTTATTCAAATATAAACACATTGCTCACAAAATTCRWTAAACACAATTACACGAGTATGTTACACGAAACGCTTCTACTTACAGACTAAACAGACAGATGATAAAAAAAAAGTCATGGTCAACTGAATATGCGGTTGGTGGCCCTAACCGAACCTTTTTTTTCTTCTAGGAACGACGTACGTAAGCCCAACGTATAACTTTTGAGTAGAATATTCTCTTGGGGAACTAGAAAACAAATATAATTTTATTTAAATGATAAATTAATCAAATGAAAATAAATACATACTTTGTAGAGCATAATTATGATCCATTTTATCATAGACAAGTATAATATATTATATTAAAATTAAAATATTAATTTTTAAATAATTTATAGATACTATTATAAATTATAATAATWACAGTGATTACAAGTACAATGATACGATATTTCTTTATATCAATTTTTAATAAAACAGAGGTTGGTATCTTTACAATGTTGAACTCCCGCCTACAAAATTCTTATCTATCTGCAAGCATAGAACAGTAGWAGGAGAACTGTATGTCCCCGGAGTGGACCGGCTAGTATGACGATTGTCGTTTGGGATGAGGTTGGTAGCACCTCGGAAAACGACGCTTACCGTGGTTGTGGTTGTGATAACGATTGGGCGTTGTCACTGATTGTGACTGGGGTTTACTATTGTCTATTGTTGTATTACGGCGACGAAAATCTGTTTGTGGTTTACGAATTACGTAAGATGAGTCCCACACCACCAATAGCATCGACTTATAACRAGTTACATAAACTGGTGAGCGATCTCCATGAAAAGGTGGGACGGCTGGAAAAGGAGTCCACAGCGGCACGCCATACCGAACAAAACGCGTTGGCCGGAATTGTTGTCAACAATGCGTCGCGTTCGGACACGTACGAGTACAGATCTGAACAAGGCGATTAAAACCTTCGATGGGTGTGAGTCAGCCTACGAGGCGGCGGACGACTGATTAAAAACAGTAGAAGGCATGACGGAACTGAACTGTTGGCCATATGCCCTTCATATGCAATTTGTCCGGTCCTACGTCGTCGGTGCAGCATGAAATTGGTTCATCGGTCGTGACTTCGCAAATTGGGACGAGTTCGCAAAGAAATTCCGAAGTACGTTTGATAGACAACTGCGAATGGTGGACAGGTGGGAAGCCATGCAGAAACGGCTACAAGCTCAAGACGAACACATCATGGCGTATCTACAAGAAAAGTCGAGATTGTGTCGTGCGTTAGAGTTGACGTTCGATGAGAGTCGTGACTATATTATTCAAGGTATTTATTCGAAAGAATTAGCTATGTACGTGTTATGTTGAAATCACGACAATGAGGATGCGTTGTTAGGGGATTTGTTGGACTGGACGAAGATGAATGCTATTCGGACCGAGATTAGGACTGAAGGCAAGCAAGAAAAGGGACATTCTACTGCGTAGAAAAACACTAGAAGTAGTCAAAGACGCGGGGAAGCGTCAACTACCTCGAAACCAAAGTGGTGTTCGGAATTCGAAAAGACTGAACAAGTTGGAAAAACTGCTGCAGAGTCTAGTGGAGCGGGCGAAGAAAACAATTCTACTTGTTGGATGTGCCGTAAGGTCGGTCACTAAACGAAAAATTGTCCGTTAAAGAAGGCAAGGAAGTGTGGGTCGCAACTGGCTTGATTTGGACACCGTGACGTATAGGAAGGAAGGTGGTGGATTCGCATTGTGTAAGACACAGGACGAGATGGGTTGGCGTKATGTATCAGTCGTGACTTGGACAAACAAACTAGACACGTTGGCGGTGTTGGTAGCATCCCCCGAACCTAAGCGGAGACCACTGGTCAAAGAAGATTTCAAGTACGTGAACGCCGAAGTGACTGTTGAAGACAGGACTCAGCTCCTTGAGCTGATCAACAGATTCCGCAGTTATTTYGCATTGGGAATCGAGGAACTAAGGTGTACCAAAATGTAAGTAATGGAGATCAACGAAATGGAAGGTAGTGAACCGGTTACCTGCAGATCGTACAAGACTACAGCCGCGGATCGCGAAGCGATAGCGGAAATTATTGGCGAGTGGAAACGGAAACAGCACGGGGTGGTAGTGGAAACTGACTCACCCAGTGATTCTGGTGAAGCAGGGCGCCAAAAATAGGTTGTGTGTAGATTACCGGAAGCTGAACAAACAGATGTTAAGGCACAACTTTCCCCTGCCAGACCTCCAAGAACTCCACTGAGGAACGGGTACTACTTCGTACAGCTAAACCCGGCGACAGGATATTTACAGGTCCCACTGTCAAAGACAGTTCAGACAAAAACAGCATTCATCACGCCTGATGACACGGGTCAGTTCACAAGGATGCCTTTTGGGTTGGCCGGGGCACCCGGAGAATTCACCAGGCTGATGCGGAAGGTGCTGGGTAACCTACGGGACAAAATGGTAATGAAATACCTGACAGAAATTTTGTACACCAGATTACTGATCTCAATGATTATACCTATGATTACCCATGATTAACTACAAAGATTACCTATGATTACCCATGAATACCCATGATTACCAGCACCTTGTACACTGATTACCCCCAAGGTATTTATCCCTCGGTGGTAAGGAACTATTTAGACGACTAGATCATCGACGCAGTCGACTGGTCAGAAATGTTGAATAAATTATCCATGGTCTTGGAAAGACTTAAAGAAGCAAACTTAACACTGAGACCGTCCAAATGTTTGTTTGGTGCCAAAAGTATATAGTTTTTGGAGTTCGTGATCGGAGAAGGAAAAATCAGTCCAGGCAAGGGCAAAAGTAAGGCAATTGAAGAGTTCTCTACTCCGAAAGATGTCCATACCATTTGAAGATTCTTAGGGCTCTCGGGTTTCTTCAGGCGGTTTGTTAGAAACTATGCTACTTTAACTGAGCCCCTGACCAGATTGACAAAAAAAGGAGCCGACTTTGAGTGGGCTACACCTCAACAGGCTGTGTACAAAGAGTTGAAAMGGATTTTTGTGAACACACCAATAGTTTGTATGTTCAATCCCGGAGCAGCGGTGACGGAAGTACCCGCTGCGAAGATGCGAGCGCCGTGTGGCTAAGAACCATGCTGTTGCAGAGTGCTGAGTAGGGAGTACCCCTACAAATTTTCTACTGCATCAGTAAGAAGCTGGGTGTGCCCGAGACTCACTATCATTCAAGCAAGCTGGAGTTGATGAGCATGGTGTGGACAGTCGACAAGTGGAGAAATTTCCTTCTAGGTATAAAGTTTTCAATTATAACAAACTGTCAGGCGTTAGTTTATTTAAGGACACAGAAAGCTACACGGCCGCAAGTTATGAGATGGTATGATGTGCTACAACTCTACAAGAGTATAATTTTGATATTATATACCATCGTCCGGGCACGAAGATGGCACATGTGGATGCTCTGTCCAGGGACCCAATTTCAGACGAAGGTGAGACATTGGACGAAGTATTATCAGGACGGTTGGACGTATGCATGACTTTAGTAACAAAAGACAAGGTGCGTATGGTACAACAAGTTGACGAAGAGCTGCGCCATATCATCACCATAATGTTAAAACCAGGGAACATCCGGACGAAGGCCGAACAAGCTATAGCACAGGAATACAGACTCAGGGGCAAGTTACTGTATAGAATGTACCGGGGAAAACAACTTTTTGTGATGCCAAAGAGTATGCGTAAGAGTATTGCAGTAGCAGCACACGACCTGGGTGGTCACTTGTCAGTAGACAAGACCGTTAGCAAAATTACACAGGACTTTTGGTTTGTGGGACTCCGGAGATACGTGAAGTTCCACATAAGGATGTATATGGAGTGCCTGATGACCAAGAAGCCGAGGGGTAAACATCCAGGAGTCTTACACCCCATACCACCAGGACGGAGGCCATTTGAAGTAGCCCATGGAGACCAAATTGGACCTTTTATAACCAGCACAGAAGAAAATAGGTACATATTGGTGTTAGTGAACAACTTAACAAAATTTGTATCTTTGTTTGCAGCGATAGACACTAGTGCTGAGGGAGTAAGGTATGCAATGGACAAATTTGTGAACAGGTACGGGTTGCCCAAGAAGTTGATTACTGATAGGGGCACTTGTTTTACATCCAAGCGGTTTAAGAACTTCTGCGAGGTTCATGGTATCTCCCACATATTGAACTCTACGAGAAGACCTCAAGCAAATGGTCAAGTTGAGAGGATAAACAGCGTTATATTGGCTATGTTGATTTCAAAAGCAGGGACGGAAGACCAGTGGGACGCGTTGTTGCCAGAGGTGCAACGATTAACAACAGCGAGTCCAAAGTGACAAGACATACTCCATTTGAACTATTACACGGATATCGACCACGATTCGAGTTGGGTAGGTTGTGTGACCTTTCGACCACTACTGAAGAATGGCTAAGTCCCTCTAAACTCTTAACATGATCTAAATCATGTTTAAAAACATTTAATTATTTTTCAAAAGTTATATAATGACTAAAACTTTCTTTTTTATTAGAAATAAACAATCTATGCAAGTATGTACAATAAGCTTATGTGCTAAGAGAAGACAGGACGTGTAATAAATTGATTAAGAAGCTGCCCACTGGCAACATTTAGCACGAATTATTATGAATTTATACACATATATATATWTTTTTTTTTGTTTTTTAATTATTGATGGTTGTATATATATTGTATATTTTAACTTGATAATCGTTGGAGGTCACGACACCGTATCCTTTTTAGCCTGCGCCTTGGATTTCCTGGGAGAATTAGAGAGGAGAGGTTTTTAATAGGTAAGTGGATTTTGGTGGGATAGAAGTCGAATGCGGAAGCACGAGCAAAAGAATAGAGTAGGGAGAACAATAGTCAACATATACAGCCAGAGTGTGTGAGTGTGGTACCCTGTCGGATGTCATGCAGATCGTCAGTCGCATTATGGGTAACCGCATGAGTATATTAAGGTAATGTGTTTTAATTATGGGTATATTGAACCTTTTCGAATTATGAGTGATTAATAAATATTGCAGTTATATGAGTTACGTTGTCACCTTTACTTATTGTTTATAACATTGGTTTTTATTGGTGTTGGATTTATTTGCCGAACCCCAGAGCTGTATGCCATAAGTCCAAATAAGTTTTAGAAGACATTTAAAACTAAAAACTCTTTATATTATAACTCTGTTTTGAAATTGTTTTAAGTATATTTAATGTATTAATTTTGTTATGTTTATCATAATGTTAAAATATCTTATTTTATTACATTGATTCATTAAATTTTAAAAATAATGATCTCAAATAATTGTCGAAGCAGACTGATATATTTTATCTAAACCTTTAGGTGTTATCTAAATTTTTAATTTGATTACTTTTTTTAATTTATTTTTTTTTATTATGAATAAAAAGATCAAGGCTTGAACTAATTAATAGGATTTACTAATTTATTTTTAATATAATTTCTAAATTTTGTTATAGTTAAAATGTTAGTTTAAAATATTATACATTTTTAAAAAAAGATACCTGATTGTAAGATTATAAATAGACATATTTTATGTTTTTATATTACTATTTAATATACCTAATTAGGGATACATTATTAACTTAATACAAAGTATGCTAGTAGAACTTGACCAACAAAATATAAATATTTTTATTTAATTTTATCCTATAATTTGTACAATACCTACTATAAAAATATAAGCGCTTGAWATCTGTTATTTTTATAACTAATCATAATAATATAGTTATAATGTATTCTTTTTTTGTAAAAGAAAAATTAATATACTTCAATAACACAAATTATCAGTTGAGAATAACATGTAATTCTCCTAATTCCAATTATAATAAAGATGGCAATTGTTTATTTTGCATTACTAAGTAATAAATACATATTTGGGTTAAATAATATATTTTTAGAACATATTTAAAAGATTTTTGCTTGCCCTGAAAAGGCACAGATTTAGCTAATGAATTATGAGTTTTTGCAGGCCGTTAACAAGAAGTACAATAACTTCTATAGAATAACATTTTAATTTGAACTGATTAGTTATATAATTTTAAATCTTTATATAACTATATATAATAATCTATTTTACAAATAACTTAATATTTAATTTAATAAAAATATAAACCTAATGAAAAACATTTATAAGCAATATAAATTATACACTTTAAGAAGAAGTTGAGTTAAAATTATTAAAAAATAAATACTCACCATYTTCAACTAATTATTTAGTATCTTCTATAATATCAAAAGTAATATTTTGAACGTCAATAAGATCTTTAAGCTTTGAACTAGAAAAATTCAAAATTCTAGTGTCTTCTAATGAAATACTATTATCTGATGTCAATCATGAACTCTGATAAATAAGAGTTTTTTTTTGATATCTTGCAGTTGTGGAGTTGTTGTAAAAACTCCTTGTGACCCAATGGAACAAAAAGAAAAGTTATTAATGATCTTGGCTTATTCCATAAATAGAAATAAATATTAGTTTATTATTACCGATAAGTCGTAACTCAAAATCTATTAAGCTAAAACACATATTAAAAATCTAATTTTGAGTTGAGAATAAATAACTAGATTACCATCAAAGAACTCAACATTTTAAGTCAAGATGTTTATGAATTGAAGTTTTGTCTTTAATTACTAATGCAGTAATGCACAATGGATAGGTATAAATATTATGATTTATGACATGAGTTTCTAGATATTCACAGGAGTTTGGTAATAACAGTCAAATAACAATTTTAATGATGGATTTGGGTTTGGTAATATTGAATTAAATTCATCCCTAACAAATTTGTAAGATCGCAGAGAAAATAATTTAAGAGTTAATTTAATTATTGAATAATATCTTATACAGCAAGACACTTGCAAGGAAGATATTGTTTGCATTTTTATTTAGAAAACTGGTTAAGTCTTTATGCTTACCAAATTATTCAGTCAAAATATTGGCATGGTTGTCATAAGACCAGAATATAATAAGTGATTTCAAAAAAACAAATTTTTTGCTTTGATGCATTATAATTTTATTTTCTTGGCTGTATGGCATTTGCGTTTGACGACATTGAGTGTTTTAGAAAAAGGTTGATTTGGTTGACTGGTAGGAAGAAAAGCATGCTTACTGTACTAGACCTGAAAATAAGTATTATATTATTACAGTGAAAAATATCAATTCTTTATTTGTAGTGCAGCATATAATAAATTACAGTTCAGTTATGTAGTTAATAACTAGTATTGGTATTCAAATAATCAATTCGAAGTACTTAAAAAGTATTAATTGTATTTTAAAGAGTTTTATCAAATTGTAGTTCATTAACTCCTTTGTAAACTCTTTCACTTGATTTTACCTTGACTTTACATTAATCTAAATTATCAAGATCACATTTATGAAACACCACTTTATCCAAACCAACTAAAAATACTTATTTAACTTATTAAAAACTATTTTTAATAATATTTTGTATTTTGTATTATTGTGCACATAATTTTCAAATCCAGTTTCTCAATTTCTATAGCTAAAATTAAAATGAAAAAAACAAACTCACAAAAGAATGAACTGCTATATCACCCAAAATATGGTAAAAGATACATTTACTCTAGTATTATTGTACAGTCAAATAAATTATTTAGAACATAAAATTTGCAATGTTTTACATTTGTAAGACATAGACAACGCATGGAGTTGAAGCCTCCTCTTAAGGTTTAGAAACATCTTATAAGGGAGAGGGGGAGGTATTAAGTGTTAATTTTATTCATTTGATAAAGATAAACTATATTCTGTTCTAAAGGAGAATATACCAAGCAGCGATCGGTTTCCGTCTAGCAGCGCACATCTATGTGAAATAACGGCATAGGCAGTGGATGGGAAAAAAAGCGTAGAACTGGTGTATTCTCTATTAAAACAGTATACGGACGATGAGTATAATATGTAGCAATCAATTCATAGTTGCCATTTCTCTCCCTTTGTACAAGATCCCCTAACCTTAAGAGGACGCCACACCCGCATGTGTTGTCTTCGTCGTACAAGTGCGTAGCATAACAAATTTTACGCTCAGCAGATCACGTTTATCTCCATTATTTTAAAATTTAGAGTGAATTGACCTATTATAAAAATTAAAGGCAAGATTATTAC